ATATATATATATATATATATATATAATTTTTATGTGGGTTATTGCTAATGTGACATCAAATTATAATTATTCTTTATATTCTCAAAAAAAAAAAAGGAAATAAACTATATTTTGGGGACTAGAGGTGGTAAATTAGTCATTTTGGGCTGACTTGAATTTTCCTGGTTATGATTTTAACGCACCAATCTGGTCCTATATTAGGACATTAGATCAAATTGGCCTTAAAATAGATTATTTTTTTTTTGAACATTTTTAACATATAAATTTAATAGTATCGTGTCAAATAGGTTCAATTTTGTTGGGTTATTTTTGAAAGTCCAGTCTTGTTTGTTTGCTCAATTGGGCCGATGTATTGTTTTTTTGTTTTTTTTTTTAATGCATAAGAGAATATTTCTCTCTTATTTTCTTTTACTTGTGAATAGGGATGGGTATAGACTTTAAAGTTCACTTAAGAGCCTATAATTTACTTATTTAAAGTTTGACCTGATTTATTTAATAAAAAGATTAAGTTTATAATTTTTTTTATAAATTATTTATTTAAAAAAATTGTACTTAAATTTGTAATATATATATATATATACATATAGAGGAGAGTTCAAATGACACCGGTGTAACTTTTACTAAGTGTTACACCGCTCAATAACTTTATATTAAATATGAATTTTAAAAATTCAACCGTTAGATTGAAAGTTCATATCTCTTAGATCATATATGTCAAATTTTGTATTAATCTAAGATGATTTGATACTTCATTATCATAAAACAAAATTGACGTAATATATACATTTCAAAATATACTAAAATATGAACACTTTGATTACCTTCAAGTTGTTGTTCAATTTTAACAAAATTTGACATACATGATCTAAGAGATATGAACTTTTAATCTAACGATTGGATTTTCAAAATTCATATTTAATATAAAGTTATTAAGCGGTGTAACACTTAGTAAAAGTTACACCGGTGTCGTTTGAACCCTCCTCATATATATATATATATATATGATTAGTCTCTTTTATCAAAGCATTTGAGTGTATACAAATATATATGAGTTATCTATTTTATATTATTTTTTTAAATATAATTTTTACGAGTAATGTAATATATTTTTTTATTGTACAAATTAAAAAAGACTTGCACACAAATTTAAAATAAATTTTTTGACTTATTTAAAATTATATTTATTAGCATGTAATGCAAAATAAACTTTTAAACAAGTTAATAGACAATATTAAAATTTTAAAAATGTCAAACTAGACATACAAAGCCTATAATAAATAGTAAATCAAATTTAGATTTTAGTTTTATAAAAACATATCTATTATGTATATTCTAACTTGATTTAACTTATTCTCGTTCTCTAATTATAAGCATTCAAAGTTTGAAAATAATGTCTTTATTTTAGACTGTCTTTTCTTGCATTTTTTTTTCAATATCAAATTGGAAAATATTATATTTAGTAAGAAAAAAGAAAAATAAAGAGAAAATATAATTTGAAAAATGATGTCTGTTTTCTTTATTTAATGAGAGAAAAAATACAAATAAAAAAAGAAAAAATTAGTCTCAAAATAAAAAATCATATTTCTTATTTTTTAATTTCCCTCTCTCTCAATTAAAGATAGGGTAAGATCTGCAGTTGGATAAAGTGAAATAAATAAGATATGGAAATATGGGTGAAAAAAATAATGAGACAGAGAAGAAGATGTAACAGACTGGTGAATTCTTGGTACGCTCTGCCCTGCCCCTAGCCGCCGAGAAAAGAAGGTGCGGGTTCTGCTTGCCCCCACTCTCCGTTGTCAAATCACAAACCCTACACTCTCTTCATTTTCATTAGATTCTTTTTCTTTTCTTCTCTTAGTCACGGTTGACTTTCATAACTAGATTACCACTAAATTTTTTATTATTATATTTCTATAATATGTCAGTATAATTTTTCTTCTTAGGAACGTCTTCCACAAGTTAAAAAGTGCACAACAACAAGTAACAACTATCAAATCTTGGAGCCTTTTCGTACACTATTAATTCTCACCAGATATATAAAACAAAATATTACTTAATTGAAAAACATGATTTTTATATGTTAAGTGTAGGAATTTATTTAACAATTATCAAATTACAGATAAAAGAAAAAATATTCTATCAGATTATCAATATCTTTTAAATTCTAAAATATGTCTATATTCACATTAATGTTGATGGAAGATTATACTAAAAGAGTCTTTTAGTGCAATGATTTTTTTCGATCAAATTACTTGATTTCTCAATAGGACCTTTCTTGTAATAAGAAAATAAAAAGGCGTGTGTTTTTTATTTGACATATTGAAAATCATGATCATTCTTATAATTTTTAATCTGATAGGGTTCTTATTAATTCTTAATGGACCAAATTCGATTTCCAC